AACGTGCTTCCCCGAGCATCCCTCCCTGAGCATCCCCCTGGAGCAGGCGGCAGCCGCATGTGCCGGGAGAAGAGGGGGCCCTTCCTCGGTGGGAAGGGGCTGAACCCTGCGCCTGAAGTTTTGGGGACCCCCCTCTTTGGCTCCCCCCCCAGCCCTGGGTTTTCCCCTCTCCCTTTCTGCGAGCTGTGCTGAGGATGCAGCTTTGCTGCTGATGGAGAGAGCAGGATGACGACAGGCTGCAGCTGAGCGGGGTGGAGCAGCGCCTTCGTTTGAGGCTGAGACCAAAGCCCTGGTTAATTACCCCGGGCGGGAGGAGCAGGGTGCCAGACTCGAAGCGCAGGTCGCTGCCGCTTTTCAGGCCTGGGGCTCTCGGGGACGCTTGAGGATGGGCGGGTTTGGCTGGAGCATCGCTGCTCTAGGGGCTCAGCCAGGGTAAAGCGGGATCCCAGGGCTGGGACGCTGGGGCTGTGGGTCGGTGGTCCCCACGTGCTCAGTCAGAGGATGCAAGGGCAAAAGCAAGGCTGCAAAAGCAGCGTTTTCCCCACTGCAGGGGATGCTGTATGGTGGGGAGCAGTGCTGGATGTGCTGCATGCACCCCCCTGCTGAGAGCAGAGGGTCCCCAAAACCCCCTGTGGGGGTCACTGAGCACCACTGGTGCAAGGAGTGAGAAGCCATCCTGGAGCAGCAGGTACTTGGTGGTCACCATCCTAAGTGCTGTGGTGGCTTGGGGTGGCCCTGGAGCTGGATACAGGGACTTGGGGAACCCACCTTGGTTTTGAGGTTGGAGAGATCCATCCCTGGGGTGATGCCTTCAGCAGAGTTGGCTGGGGATGGGCAATCTCTGCTGTGGCTTTTTGGGGGTCCTGGTCCTCTGGCTGTCACTGGTACTGGGGTCCAGTGGTGGGAGCAGCCACGGTTTCTTCCCTTGCCCCTCGCAGGTGCCCTTGGCTCGAGGGAGGAGCCCGAATTCGTGACCGCTCGCGCTGGCGAGAGCGTGATCCTGGGATGCGACGTGATCCACCCGCTCACGGGGCAGCCGCCTCCCTATGTGGTGGAGTGGTTCAAGTTCGGCGTCCCCATCCCCATCTTCATCAAGTTTGGGTTTTACCCTCCCCATGTCGACCCGGAGTATGCCGGTGAGTCCAAGGGGGATGAGCCTGGGATGCTCTGCTCCGCTCCATCCGCTCCTCTGTCAGGAACCGCGCGGGCTCTGCCTCTCGTTGCTCGCTTTCCACCCAGTTGGTTTTAATTAAGCAGCAGTGCTAGGAAGCCAGCTGGGCTGCGTGGGACGGGAGCAAGTGAGGCAGAGAAACCCAGGGTGATGCGTGGGGGTGGCGGGGGGCGCCGCCGCGGCGTCTCGCCC